TATGCATATAAATTCTTTGGTTAATCTCTTCCCACCTCCCCTCCTCCTTCCCTCTGAGATTTGTCCATCTGTTCCATGTTTCCATGTCTCTGGTTCTATTTTATTCATCAGCTTATTTTGTTTATTAGATTCTACATATAAGTGAGATTTTGTGATATTTGTCTTTCTCTGACTGGCTTATTTCAATTAGCATAATCATCTCCAAGTCCCTCCATGCTGTCTTTTATATGCTCCCCTATGTTCATAGCAGTGTTATTTAAAGTGGCTAACATATGGAAATAGCCCAAGTGCCCATCAGTAGATGAATGAATTAAAAAAAAAAAAAAAACTGGTAAATTTACACAATGGAATACTATGCAGCTGCAAAAAAAAAAAAAAGATCAACAAAACATTTTTAATAAGGGAGCCTGTGCAATTTGCCTTTTACTATATGAAATGGAAAAACTATACCTATCACTATTTTTAATGCAGAGTATTCTACCTATCAAAATAACCAGATTTCAAAATGAATTAACCAAAATCTCTCAAAGGCTAGCTACACCAAGATCTTCAAAATCTCAGATTCATCAGTTTTCTCACACATAGCTACCAATAATTTCTCAAAAGTTTCACCTATCATCCCTTATTAGAACTTTTTAACCAGGACTTACAACTTTTTTTTAACCCAATGTGCACAGGGAGCTTCAGTAATGATTTTATGAGTACTAGATCATTTTCTAACAGAATCTACAAAACACTTGCTACTTTAGCAATGTCATCATGACTCATCCAGATCTGTATCAAATTTCCTCAAAGAAAAAATTCTTATCACAAGCTCTACCATTAAAATGTGCAAAATTAGCCCTGGCCAGTTTGGTCCAGTACGGACCTAAGAGGCAAGAGTTCAATTCCCAGTCAAGGGCACATGCCTGGGTTGCAGGTTCGATCCTTGGCTCTGTTCAAGGTCGTGTGGGAGGCAACTAATTGATGTGTCTCTCTCACATTGAGGTTTCTCTCTCTCTCTTACTCTTCCCCTCCCTCCCTTCTACTCTATCTAAAAATCAATGAAAACATATCGCGAGAGAATTAACCAAAAATAAAATGTGCAAAATTATCTTTAGAATTTAAAAACCACTGTCACTACCTGAACCAAAACTATTTCAAAAGCAGCCATGAAAGCAACTGTCTTCCAAATGCATAGTCCTAGCTATGAAGATCAAATTGTTTCACAATATTTATCTTCTCTGCTGTGAGTGAAATGAGTTGTACTATCCAATGGATATAAGTCACTTTCCCATCAGTTACAAAGATAATCTCAAAAGAGCTATAAATAGCTAAATGAAACAATAGGACCAAATCAATTTTAACAATAAATTATTAAAATATGATCTATAAACTGACCTATTTCCTTCCCCATATTTTGAAGATATACTAAGTGTACTCAGCATCATAGCATTTTCATTTCCACACTGCAAAACACCTCTCTTACAGGAGTGGCCACCTCCCTTCCAAAACCGTGAAGGGAAAAGTTAGTCAGTTTAATAGGCAGGAACTTACGGCCCACCTCCCTTATTTAAACGAAAGAAACACCCACCCTGGTGCCCAGAAGTGGTAATGTTAGGAAAACACCACTTGTCTGTATTGGTAGATGAGACATATGAAACTGCACAAGGTAATTGGTTTCCAAGAAAAGCTGAACAATGACGTGTCTAGGTGTACTGTATTAAAGTTAAGTATATAGGTCACCTAGATACAACATTTTTTGTTGTATATCATATATACATATATAAACTTTCTTTTCTTTCACTTTGTCTCTTCCTCCTCCATGATATGGAATTCAGATCAGTAAACTTTTTACTACTTGGATAAGTGCAAATTTTCATATTTTTCAAAATACAAAGCCAGATATCCCTTCTAGCCAATATGGACCATTAAACCATTTCAGTCATTTCAATTTACAGTTGAGAAAAGTGTTTAAGAAATTTAAACTGATTTTCAGTATCTGCCTAAGTAATAATGTAACAGGCAAGTTTTAAAAGTACAGTTTTATTTTAGTCAAAAAGAAAAGGTATGTTTGTCCATATCTAGTCTATAATTAGGACAAGACCAACTAGATTGAATTAAAACTCTACTGAATAAATTGATCAATAGTAAAGATAAGTGTTTACACTCAATCAATATAACTGTATAAATCAGACAGTCTGGACCTTTTCAGTAGATAGAAAGGACTCGATAATGTTCCTTATATTTCTTAGAGAAAGTACTAGAATTTGATTTTCATATATCTTTCTATCAACCCAAACTATTACAATACTTCAACTGAATTCTTTATTTAAAAACCTCACCCTGTTTAGCCCTGGCCAAGTGGCTCAGTTGGTTAGAGTGTCATCCTGATAAACCAAGTTTTTGGGTCTGATTCTCGGTCAGAGCACATATAAGAATCAATCAATGAATGCATAAATAAGTGGAAAAACAGATCTTTCTTTCTTTCTTTCTTTCTTTCTTTCTTTCTTTCTTTCTGTCTGTCTCTCCATTCCTCTCTCTCTCTCTCTCTAAAAGCAATAAATAAAATTTTTTAAAAAATCTTCACCCTGTTGAAGGTGATGAATCACAAGTATGCAAGGTGACTGAAACTGCAGGGGGCACTCTAAGCATGACTTCCAACATAATCCTTCAGATTCAGAAAAATTCTTCCAGGGTAGCCTTAGCGGTTAAACTACTAACATACATTTTAATCAAAGATTCCACATAAAAATAAATTTTTAAAGAAAATTCACTGAAATTCTTCCCTAAACGTAATAATTAAATGGGGAAAAGTACACTAACCTCACTCAGGACAGTGCTCCATAAGTCAAAAATAATAGAATGCATTTGTTTAAAAAAAAATCCGTTTTATCACCACACTTAAAAAACACAGATCATCATTCAGAATTATAAAGCTCATTTACTTATGTGTAACACATTATTCCAAAATGTATTTTAAATCACTTTAAGTATAAATAAGTAAACTTTTAAAAATATGATTGATATATCACTGGGGAAAATGTAATGAAATATTCAATATAAGTATGACTTGGAAAATTAAAGTTATTCTAAAATGAAAAGAAAAAGGAAAACTTAATTTTACTCAATTTTGTATTCTAGTTGCCATTATATTCTATCCCCCAACTTTTCATGAACCTTCTTTTCCCAGACCCAGAGTGACTCCATGCCCTGGTAATATCAGGTAAACTCAGGACATCATCTTATGCACAAAGAAGAGTAATTTGCAATTAACAACTGAATTAAATTAGATGAAGCTTTCCTTTTATGTACGTGCTGAGTAAAGGTAAGATTTGGTGGTAGGTACACATCAATCTTCTTTCTTGCATTTCTTTTCTCCTTTTCTTCATGATATATAGTTAACCTTTCTTTGACATTATAAAACTTGTCATTAATAATTACCATAAATATTCACCTCATATATATCATTTCCAAAGCACCTCACAATAGTAATAATCGTTAACAGTGCTTTCTATGTACCACACGTTGTTCTAAGTGACTTCATGTTAATTCAGTTAATCTTCACAACTCTGGAAGGAAGGCATTATGAACCCCATATTATAAATGGAAAAACTGGATCAAGGAGAGGCTGTGAGGTTCCCAGAGACACATGGCTAATGACTTCTAGAGCAGATATTGGTCACAATAGGAGGGGACCACATATCCCCAAGTCAGATGCCTCTGACCAAACTACAATAGATCTGGTACCCTCTATAACCCTCTATATACGTTTACCTTCCTTGACTAAGACCAAGCTGAAAATGTTAACAGGGGGGGATTAAAATGTATAAAGCATAATCAAAACTACAGCTCAGAGAATATACAGAAAACACAGCTAGGACTTTTGGCAAACTCCTGGGCAATTTTCACAGGGAAAAGCAAGATCTGGCATGAGAGAGTAGGTACCCTGATATGAGAGCCTAAACACAAGGACCACAATCCAGTCAACTTGGGAAGATCTACTCTAACTATCCCCATCTCCTTCAAACTCATCACTATTTTATCTTACTGTCTTATTTGATACCCCAAGTAGTCTTCTCAACCAACAAACTATTTTTGTTCACTATAATCCTCTAAATTGACTTACACAAATCTATCTTCTCTAACTTTGAGCAGCAGAAGTTGGTCTTCTGAAGGCCTCATCTCCTGGACAAACTCATCATCAAGGTTCCATAGTAAGAGAGCTGAGAAACCCTCACTCTGGAGTACAGAGAATTACAGCAAACTTGAGTACCTCCCCACTGAATTCCTCAATGTCTGAAGTTAATTGGACACCAATCTAACAACCACATTGGACAAGACATGCGTCACAAACATAGCTTCAGAATATATATCAAACCATTAAGTTGGTAAGGAAACTTTCCCTTCCACTTTAGACACTTATAAACAGTTGGAATTTTTTTTTTTCTAAACATATATTACTTTGGGGGGGAGTTAGCTTCAGAAATTTTCTACAAAAAATATGGAGAAAATTTAAATATCCAGTAACATTAAATATCCAGTAACTTTCATATTCATGAATCTCACAAAACAGGAAAAAGGAATTTAACCAACTTTTTTATATTACTTAGATAAGTCCCCAATAAAAACAACCTAACAATATCACAACCTTTTTCACAACTTTGTTAATATTGTTGGCAAACACTGGTCATATAACTGATGGCTGATTAACTCAACAGTTTCACGTCATTTAAGAATAACAAACATTCCGGCTGGTGTGGCTCAGTGGTTGAGCATCGACCCATGCACTAAAAGGTCACAGATTCAATTCCCGGTCAGGGCACGTGCCCAGGTTATGGGCCCAATCCACAGTAGGCGGCATGCAGGAAGTGGCCAATCAATGTTCTCTTTCATTGATGTTTCTAACTCTCTCTCTTTCTCCCTTCCTCTCTCTCTAAAAATCAATGAAGAAAAAAATAATTTAACAAAATAACAAACAAGTTCACAAATACTTTAAATAAGACAAAGAAAAGAAATACCTCAAGTTCCACCAGAGCAGCAGTCACTGCATCTGTTGCAAGAGCACCAGCCTGTAGCTTTTCAATTGCCTATGAAACCAAGGAGAGAGATTATTCATTGTAAAACCACAACTTCTCAAAAACATAGACAGTAAAATATCAGACATTACTTGTAGCAATATTTTTTCTGATGATCTCCTTGGGCATGGGAAACAAAAGGAAAAATAAACAAATGGGACTACATCACACTAAAAAGTCTTTTTACAGTAAAGAAAACCATCAACAAATTGAAAAGACAAGCCACTGAATGGGAGACCATATTTGCCAATGATACATTTGATAAGGGGTTAATATGCAAAATTTAAAAAGAACTTATACAATTCAACACCAAAAAAAAAAAAAAATCCAGTTGAGAAATGGACAAAGGACCTGAATAGACACTTCTCCAAAGAGGACATACAGATTGCCAATTGACTTATAAAAAGATGCCCAACATCACTAATTATCAGAGAAGTGCAAATTGAAACCACAATGAGATATCACCTCATATGTATCAGAATGGCTATTATCAATAAATCTACGAACAACAAGTGTTGGCCAGAATATGGAGAAAAGGGAACCCTCGTGAATAGTTGGTGGGAATGCAGATTGGGGTAGCCACTGCAGAAAGCACTATGGAATTACCTCAAAAAATTAAAAATAGAACTGCCTTCTGAAACAGAGATTCCACTTCTGGAAAAATATCCAAAGAAACACAAAACACTAATTCAAAAGAATATATGCACCCCTAAATTTACTGCACTGTTATTTACAATAGCCAAGATTAGGAAGCAGCCCAAGTGCCCATCAGTAGATTAGTGGATAAAAAAGTTGTGGAATATTTACACAATGAAATATTATTCAGTCATAAAATAGAAGGAAATCATACCCTTTGCTACAGCATGGATGGACCTGGAGGTTATTATGCTAAGTGAAATAAGCCAGTCAGAGAAGGGCAAGTACCATATGACTTCACTCATATATGGAAACTAATGAGTAAAATCAACTAAAAAGCAAAATAGAGACAGACTCGGTTTGATAGAGATCAGTCTGACAGCTGTCGGGGGTAAAAGGGGCTGGAGTGGGTACAGGGATTAAGCAAAAAAGAAGAGAAAAAACTCATGGATACAGACAACAGTGTTGTGATGGGGGGTGGAAAGTATGGGGGATAAATGGTGATAGACGGAGACTTAACTTGGGACAATGAACATACAATACAGTGTACAGATGATGTGTTATAGAACTGTGCACCTAAACTCCATGTAATTTTGTTAACCAGTGTCACCCCAATAAATTCAATGAAAAAGAAAAGTAAAACCACACCTTCTTAAATATACCCAAAAGCTTTCCAAAGGCTTAAAGAAGTATAGGAGACATTTAGAGTTAATAAAAATTGATCAATATTTCCATTCCATACCTCAAGATATAAACTACTTTGATTCATATTCAGGATAATTTATGATATAGCTCACTTAATATTATTCAAAATAAGATGATGAAAAAAAAAATCTAGCTACTAAATGCAAAGTGCTAGGAATTTAGTAAGTAAAAGGACTTCATCACAAGGCAATTCAAATAGCCATAAACATTATACAAATTCAGTTTGGTTTAAATATCTTAAAATTTTGTATTTTATATAGATAATTAAAGCTCAGACTAAGCTAATAATTTCTCTTACACTGTTACTACTCTCTCTGCCCCTAAGAAAACAATGACTGCTAATCACAAAGGCTTTTCAGAACTCTTAGATGGAAACATACATTTAATAAAAGCATTTTTGATACTATAACATATTTTATAGTGAGATAAGTAGATCATACTCTTTTGTAATATAAATTACAGAGCACAAAGGTCTATAAAATCACTCTTGCTTCTTGAGTATTAATTAAGACAGGAAAGAAAGAGAAAGAAGACTGATTTCTAAGTGAACTATTTCTTTCCTTTTTTTTTTTTTGTTAATAATCATCTGAGGATATTTTTCCATTGATTTTTAGAGAGAGTGGAAGAGAGGGAGGGAGAGAGAGAGAGACACAGAAACATTGATGTGAGAGAAACACATCAATTGGTTGCCTTCCACACATGCCCTGACCAGGGTTGGGAATCAAATCTGCAATCCAGGTACATGCCCCTTGACCAGTAATCAAACCTGAGACCCTTCGGTCCAGGGTCTGATGTTCTCTAACTACTGAGCCAAAACAGTCAGCTCCAAATTAGTCAATAAAGAGAAAGCTCAAAAACAGAATTGCATTAAACTTTTAAGAAATTCATTCATTGGCCCTGGCCTGTTTGGCTCAGCGGTTAGAGCGTCGGCCTGCAGTCTGGAGAGACCTGCGTTCGGTTCCCGCTAAGGGCATGTACCTCGGTTGCAGTTTGTCCCTGGCCCTGGTTGGGTCGTGTGGGTGGCAACCGCTCGATGTGTCTCTTTCACGTCGATGTTTCTCTCTCTCTCTCTCCCTTACACTCTATCTGAACAAAATATCGAAAAATGTTCTCGGGTGAGGATAAAAAAAAAAAAGTTCATTCATTGTATAAATTAAGGAAGCTGATTATATACTCCAAATGCATTAACCTTCTAGGACTATAGTTTTCTATTGAAAATAAAACCTTTCTTTTCAGATAATGGAAAGATTTCACATTTTGAAAATAAGGTAAAAATTATAAAAGAGCCTAGAGAACTTTTCACTTTATTATATATATTTTTAAAAAACAATAAAATCCCGCCCTGGCCGGTTTGGCTCAGCAGTTAGAGCATCGGCCTGTGGTCCAGAGATACCCGGGTTCGTTCCCACTAAGGGCACCTCGGTTGCAGTTTGTCCCCAGCCCTGGTTGGTCGTGCAGGTGGCAGCCACTCGATGGGTCCCTTTCACGTCGATGTTTCTCTCTCTCTCTCTCCCCTCCCCCTCCCTCCCTCACTCTCTCCCTCCCACTCTATCTGAACAAAAATTGGAAAAATGTCCTCAGGTGAGGATAAAATATAAATAAATAAAATCCCTATAACAAAATACTCCTCTTTATTTATGGAATTTCATTCATAAGAAAAAGGTTGGCTCTCTAGTAAAGTATGATCTTTCTTTTAAATGGTATGTAAGTATAAATCAAAAGGACTTAGAGATTCATTTACTTGATATATAATATCCAATTAACATTCTATTTAAATAAAAGTAAATGAAGGGTTTGCCTACAAGAGTATATAGTCAGGATCAAAATAAAAACAAACACTATTTCTTCTGATTCCATTCCTGATTCCACATTAAGTAGTCAACAATTTAGCAAAACCTCAAAAACCAAAGAGAAAAAAAGTACAACTCAGTACAAGGGCAAAGCTAACTTAGAAATGACAATGAATTTCTATGATACAAACTACATGATGAAAAACAGAAGAAAATCTACAGGATAATCTCCCTATGAAAAGCACCCATTTTCATTTGTTAGTATTTTTTTTACTTCCCTTCACAGAAAGACACATTGGCTGTCTTTGAGCTGTTTTCTATAGAGCTCAACGCCTTTGCAAAGATTAAAAGATATATGATTATGTGCCCATAATTCCAAAATACAAACTTTAATCTAGGAAAGGAAGGGAAAGATCTAAGCATGTTTTGGAGAATTAAAAACAAAACAAAACAAAAGACCTCACAAATATGAGCAAAATTATTTTGTGGTCCAAACCAATCATTATCTTATAAATCAAACCTTAAAATTTTGAATTTCAAGGTAAAGCTCCTTTATGGTCAAAACTGGAGTGCTTTTATTATACCTTCTGACAAGCTCGTTTGCATACATGTTTATATTCCTTGGCTTTGGATTCCGAATGATAACCTGCACCTGTAGTGGAACAAACCAACCAATTATTAGTATTAGTATTCACTAAAATGTCACAGGTCTTGCTTATAGTATATAAATACTTCATACAAAGTAATGCTCTCCTAGTAACAATAAAACTATTTTCTTAACGGTATGCAGTTTTAAAAATATAATAGCTTCTTTCTCCACCAGAAGCCTTTTTAATACCATGCCTTATCTTCTTTTTCTAAAGCTATTTTCCTGAGAGAGGCACTAGAAATAGCTCATGTTCCCAAAGAGGCCTCACCAAGGTCACTTCTCCTCCTTTTGAAAAACCTCCCTCCAAAATCAGGAATTTTTTAGTCTGGACTTGATAACTCAGGCAGTGTCAGGGAAAAGAGTCCCTTCAAGCTTTCTGTTGACCTTCAGAAAGCATCTGCCTTTGGGAATCCAGAACTCTTAAAGGTAACTTTACAAAACTAGTTTCTAAATAACATTTGAAGTTGAGGGTGTTACAGTCCACCTATCCACAAGCACCACCAATACTACCACTCCTACCCAAACCTTTACATCCTCTCACTTCTGGAATTTAAGCTCAGGATGTCTCTGAAACCTCAGTGATGGTATAGTCACAACTGCCTATTAGGAATTCTGTTGGTTCTTAATAAACACCCAGCAACTTTCTCAAGAGAATGGCTCTGAAATCTTTTTCCTAAAAAAGGTTAATACTTGCTTAGTTACAGATTTGAGGATGATCTAAATAAGAAAGATACCAAGACAAAAGTCCTTAAACTGTTGTGATAATTAGGCTTCTAATCAAAGTTCTGAACCCCATCCCACCATACCCCATCCCCGTCAGGGGTCCCAAAGCCCCAACGGAGTACAACATAAGGAAGGTTAAGAATTACATCTCTGTGTCCCTTTCACGTCGATGTTTCTCACTCTCTCTCTTCGACTCTCCCTCCCACTCTGTCTGTACAAAAAATGGAAAAATGTCCTCAGGTGAGGATAAAAAAAAAAAAAAAAAGAATTACATCTCTAAACCTCATGGTTCTTCATGTGAGGCTGAAGACTGACATAAACTTAACCCATCTTTTCTCAAAGCAGAAAAAGAACTGGTCAAGAAGTTATGGTTAAGGGACAAAGAGAGCAAAAAAGATACCCAAGGAATCCATAATATACCTAAATTCTAATCCTGATTCTCAGGAGACCTTCATAGAACCTGTGCCAATATTTAATAGGCCTCTCTTTATGGTTCTCCAATAGATTTGATCTCAGGTCTGTTGTCTTAGATCTCAGGGCCCCGATCTTCCAGCAGCATTTCCCAAAGCATGGGCCACTATTGCCAAAGACATAACTTTAGTGTATGGATAACACATAAATCTTTCTGCTTAGAATAAGGGAAAAGTCTCAACATGGATCCAGTATATCTTTAATATCTGGTAACACTTGCTAATTACTCTATTTAACAGAGGAAAGGTAAGCTTAGAATCTTAATCACTGACATTCAATAGTATGTAGCTAAAATTTAATTACACTATTTTGTTTGAAATGATTTAAACTTATTTTCTCTTCATGAAAGTGATACTGAAATTCCTTTTAAGTCAAGATAAGTTTCATCTTTAAAATTTTAAGGTAAACGCCCAACTAGTGTGGCTCGATGATTGAGCGTCAACCCATGCACCAAGAAGTTGCTGGTTTGATTCCCGTTCAGGGCACATGCCTAGGTTGTGGGCCAAATCCCCAGTGTGGGACATGCAGGAGGCGGCCAATAGATGTTCTCTCTCATTGATGTTTCTGTCTCTCTCTCCCTCTAACTATCTCTCTCTCTAAAATCAATGAAGAAAAAGAAAATTAAAATTTTAAGTTAAAAACTTTAATTTTTTAAAAATAAGTAAATGGTATTTAATAATCTAATACTGAAACAACTAAAAAGAAAAAAGAAAAAACCACCACCAACAACAAAAACCCAGCAGCATTAAAATCTCTACACTGAATGAGAAATTTAAATAGTGTCAATGACAAGGGACCCAAGGCTTAAATGTCACAGTATCTGTCCTTGTTGTCCTCTGAAGTAGATATTATAGGCTGATATATTGCCAAAAGCATTAGACTGGGACTTAAGGATTTCTCAACCTGGCTCTAGCAGGAACTAGACATGTGGCTGAAGCCTTTCAATATCTCTGGCTTTAAATTTCCTCACATATTATATTAAGAAAGCAAATTAGCTCTAAGACTGTATACTCTAAGATAGCCACAGTCAAATATAAAGGTAAATAAAATTTTTTCAGCTATATTATTTTAAAATCTACAAACCAAATTTATTTTAAAAATTACTTTGTCTGGTTTTAATACTACCTAAATATATCTATTACACAAAGAAAAGTAAATAATAGTGTAGGGGAGTGAAGAAGACACAGGAAGAGCTATCATTACAAGATCTTCCAAGTGGGTTATAAGGGGACGCCCACAATGTACCAAAGTTAAATTCTTTGGTTCCAATTCCTCTCTGGTACTGAGCCTCCTCTTGAGGTATAATTCAATTCTTAGTGTACTTCAAGGCAAGAAAAAATAAACAAACATTACTTTCATCTTCCGACTCACTCACTTAGAGCTTACCTGCATGCACCAACACAAAGCCCCCTCGCTTCTCTTTATGGGACTGCTTTGTTTCCAACTCTTTGGCTGTTATTTTAACAGCTGAAACCTGAGATGATCTGGAAGGCAGCCCTTCTCCAGAACTCATCCCCTTCTCCATGGTCATTCTCCAAGTTTACCATCTTCTACTGAAAAAAGTGCATACTTGCATCCCAAAGTTATTGCAGGAGAGGAATTACCCTAAGGGAAAACAGACAACGATGGTATGCATTCCTTTGCACTAACACACACATAATGTACAAATTAGTACAAAGATAACTTTAAAAAACAAAATTTTAAAGTTTATTTAACTTGGTAACACAAAGAATATAAAAAGGTTAGAATTTAAATCTCTCTCTCCACTGATAATACTTGCCTGAAGTCATATAAACAAAAGAAGTTAAAAGATTTCATACTGACGCCAAACATATTTTATCTTTCATTTTATCTACATTAAAGAAAACATCAATATAACCTAAATATCATTTTCTACACCCTCCACACCAAATGCTAATAATCTGTGGGGTATTCCACAATTACAGACAGTGCTGACAACACCACCAAGCCTTAATATAAAGCCTAAACTGCTGCCTACTTTTATTTTCAGTTTTACTGCAATATAGTTGACATGTAACATTATGTAAATTAAGGTGTACGACATGATGATTTGATACTCATATAATGCAAAATGATAACCACAATAAGGTTAGATTACACACACATAACCTCAATATAATTACAATTTTGGGAAGCCATAAGAACATTTATGATCTATAGATTGCTATTTAAAGAAATAAAGCAGGAGCTGTAAAATGGAGGCAGACTGAATGGAAGCTACACAGACCACCTCCCAGGACCAAACTGGAATTACAACTAAAATAAACACAAATTGTCAGGAAAAAGCAACAGAAAAGGAGCTTGCGAGGACCATATAACCAGGGATACTTAATAGATCCTGGTAAAATTGCAGAGGTGCAAGGCGGAGGCTGGGAGCCCACAAACAGCAGCAGTCTTGGCTGTGAGCAGCACCCTCCGGGTTAAACTCCTAAGTGGCTCCACAGCCCACAGAGCCAGGACAAAGCGCTAAAATAGCCACAGCCACTCACTTTGGGCTCTGCAGAGGGAGGATGGACTAGACTGAAACAGTGTGGGGACACTCAGAATTTGGAGGGCACTCAAAGCTTTTGCTGAGTTGCAGCCATTCAGGACAGTGGCCATCATACTCCTTCCCAGGGCTCAGGGGAGAGGCAGCGGCCCCTCCCACGAAGATTCAACCCCACCTGGTGGTCCATTGCAATGCAAATTGAGGCTCATTAACAACAAGCATCTGCCTCACCCTAGGGAAATCCCCTACTCTGAACACCTGAGGGAGTTTGTCATTCAACTGAACACCAAAGGCTCTTCAAGTAACCGCCACTAATAGCCTCCAGGCAAGAAGCTAGAGGATAACTGAACCTTTCCTAGGCTTGCAATTCTACCCAGGGAAGTAAGACATGACAGTGGTGGTTAACGTGGGTCCTCCCACACTCATCCAAACCCAGTAGAGGGAGCTACAAACTGCAGAACACCAATGCCCACAGGGAAAATTTGACAGGCTCAAAAACACAATGAGATAAACAAAAAGGTAAAACAAAAACAAAAATCCCAGGCCTGGCAAGATAGGCTCAGCGGCTGGAACATCAGCCTGCACACCAGAGAGTGCCAGGTTCGGTTCCCGCTAGGGGCATGGACCAAAAAATAAAAATAAAAAATTTTTTTAATTTTAAAAATTAAAACAAAAAAAAAATCCCAAATGAAAGAACAAGAGACCTCCACTGAAGATGAGATAAATGAAATGCAGTTTAGTAGGTTAACAAAGCTAGAATTCAAAGCCATGATCTTGAGGAAGCTCAACATTATGAGTAAGAACATCACCACCATGAGTAAAGACATAGAAACATTGAAAGTCAACCAACTGGAAATGAAAAACCACCAGGGAGGAATGAAGAATGACAAAACAAAAATAAAGAACAAACTTGAAAGACTAAACAGCAGAGGAGAAGAAGCTGAGGACTAGATTAGTGAATTAGAAGACACAGTAGAAAAAATCAACCAATCAGAAACCATAAAAAAAAAAAAATTAAAAAACAGGAAGACAGCCCTGGCCACTTTGGCTCAGCGGTTGAGCGTCAACCTCAACACCAGAGAGTCCCAGATTCGGTTCCCACTAGGGGCACGTACCACCAAAAAAAAAAACAAAAAAAACTAAAGACAGCTTAAGATAACTGTGGGACAACTTGAAACATATTAACATTCGCATCATAGGAGTCCACGAAGAGGAAGAAAATGAGCAAGGGTTAGAGAAAATATTTGAAGAAATAGTAACAGAAAACTTCCCTAATTTGCTGAAAGAAGAAGGCATTCAAGTTCAAGGACCACAGACAGCCCAAAATGAGAAGAACGCAAACAGGCTCACACCAAGACACATAATAATTAAAATGTCAAAAATTAAAGACAAAGAGAGAATCCAAAAGGCACCAATAAATAAGCAACAGGTTACCCAGAAAGTAACCCCCATAACACTCTCAGCTAAGCTCTCAATAGAAACACTACAGGCCAGAAGGAAATGGCATGAAGTAATCAAGGTCATGAAAAACAAGGATCTGAATCCAAGACTATTCTACCAAGCAGGATTATCATTAAAAAAAGAGGGTCAAATAAGAAACATCCCAGACAAAAACAGGATAAGGAAATACATTAACACCAAATCAGCACTGCAAGAAATGTTAAAAGAACTGCAGTAATTACTACAATAAATAGAAAGAAAAATAATACCACACTAAACAAAATGTCAATTAATAGGTACATATCAATAATCACCTTAAATGCACATGGATTGAATGCTACAACAAAAACACAAAGTAGCTAAATGAATAAGAAAGCATGATTCATATATAAGTTATTTACAAGAGACGCACCTCACAACAAAAGACTCACATAGATTGAGACTGAAGAGATGGAAAAAAATCTTCCAAGCAAACGAAAAGAAAAAAAAAGCTGGGGTAGCAATACTCATATCTCATAAAATACACTTCAAAATGAAGGCCATAACTAGAGACAAAGAAGGCCATTACATAATATTGAAAAGATCTATCCAACAGGAAGATATAACCTTGATAAACATATATGCACCCAATATAGGAGCACCAAAATATATTAAAAATCTTCTGGAGGACTTCAAAGGAAAAATCAACAGCAATACAATCATAGCAGGGGACTTCAACACCCCGCTGACATCACTGGATAGATCTTCTAGACAAAAAATTAGCAAGAAAATAGAAACTCTAAATGAAGCACTAGACCAAATGGATTTAACAGATATCTACAGAGAATTACACCTTAAAACGACCGAATTCATCACATTCTTCTCAAGTGCACATGGGATATTCTCAAAGATAGACCATATGTTAGGACACAAACTAAGTCTCTACAAGTTCAAGAAGACTGAAATCATATCAAGCATCTTCTCAGATCACAATGGCATGAAACTAGAAATCAATTGCAAGAAGAACATACAAAGACATTTGAACACATCGAAGCTAAATACCATGTTATTAAACAATGAATGGGTCACCAAGGAGATCAAGGAAGAAATCAAAAACTTGATGGAAACCAATGAAAATGAAAATACAACAACACAAAATCTATGGGATGCAACAAAAGCAGTTCTGAGAAGGAAGATTATAGCACTACAGGCCAACCTCAAGAAACAAAAAAAAATTCTAACAGACTATCTAACCTCACAACATAAAGAACTAGAGAGCAAAGAACAAGAAAACCCCACAACCAGTAGAAGAAAGGAAATATTAAAAATCAGATCAGAAATAAACGACATAGTGACCAAAAAAACAATTCAAAGGACCAATGAAACAAAGAGCTGGTTTTTCGAAAAGATAAACAAGTTTGATGGACCCTTAGCTAGACTCACCAAAAAACAAAGAGAGAGAAACCGAATACACAAAATCAGAAATGAAAGAGGAAAAGTAACAACTGACACCATGGAAATACAAAAGATCATTAACAACTACTATGAACAATTATATGGCAACAAATTCGACAATGTAAGCAAAATGGACAAATTTCTAGAAACACAGTCTCCCAAAACTGGACCAGGAAGAGATAGAAAACTAGAACAGATGAATATGAACAGAATAAATTGAAGACGTAATGAAGACTCTCCCAGCAAACAAAAGCCCAGGCCCAGATGGCTTCACAAGGGAGTTTTACCGAACATTAAAAGAAGAACTAACACCCATTCTCCTAAAACTATTTCAAAAAATTCAAGAAGGAAGACTTCCAAACTCCTTTTATGAAGCCAGCATAATTCTAATTCCGAAACCAGAAAAAGACACTACAAAGAAAGAAAACTACAGGCCGATATCCCTGATGAACATAGATGCCAAAATCCTGAACAAAATACTAGCAAATTGGATCCAGCAATACACCAAAAAAATTATCCACAATGACCAACTGGGATTCATCCCAGGGATGGAAGGCTGGTACAATATTCACAAATCAATAAACGTGATACACCACATAAATAAAATGAAGAATAAAAACCACATGATCATGCCGAAAAGGCTTCGACAAAATCCAGCATATATTTCTAATAAAAACACTCAGCAATGTGACAATAAAGGGATCATGTCTAGACATAATAAAGGTCATATATGAAAGACCTACAGGCAACATTATACTCAATGAGCAAAAACTAAAAGCATTTCCCTTAAGAACAGGAACAAGGCAAGGATGCCCACTTTTGCCACTCTTATATAACATAGTATTGAACTCTTAGCCACAGCAATCAGACAGGAAGAAAAAATAAAAGAGATCCAAATTGGAAAGGAGGAAGTGAAACTGTCATTATTTGAACATGACATGATACTATACGTAGAAAACCCCAAAGACTCCATGAAAAATTTACTAGACTTAATAAATGAATTTGGCAAAGTAGCAGGATACAAAATTAACGTCAAGAAATCTATGACATTCTTGTACACCAAGGATGAACTCACAGAAAGAGAAACTAAGAAAACAATCCCATTTACCATTGCGGCAAAAAAATTAAGATACCTAGGAGTAAACTTAACCAAAGAAATAAAGGACCTATTCGCAGAAAACTACAGGCCATTGAAAAAAGAAATAGAGGAAGATATAAAAAA